AAATTCGAGCCTCGACGTGCAACTAGGTGCCTCCACACTTCACAACTATGTGTGGAATGTGGAAATGACACATTTCTTGGCTTTAGGTGCTGCTATTTTTCCGCAGTGCAAGGAACATGCGTACATACATATAGATTCTTTATTATTTAGTAATAGAGATTACATGCAGTAATTTTAGGGCGTCTTTTGTGCTATGTAATTTATATATAAGTGAAGAAATTTCTGGTGTTAACGAGAAAGTTAAGACAGAAATACAAAGATTACAAAATTAATTGCTGGAACCTTTAGAGTCAGTAAACAATGTCCTGGTTCAGCTTTTGATGACTAACACTCTGGTTCACTTTACTACAAATAATTTCATAGCTCAGTCATATTGGCCTGTAATCAAACACTTACTATATGATGGGAATGTGTTATTATGAAATATATAGAGAATGCAGTATGAAATAATTTTGCAGAGAAATGAGTAGGACTCTGTCCAACACAGTTCACCAGCCACTTTTCTTACAAGAAGTGGCAGATACTCTACAGACAAATAAGTAGATGCTGATGCTTTAGCTAATGCTTTAAAACTGCAATTTGGGAACAAATTTCTCATAGATTTTTCACAGACTGCAGCAGGAGAGAACCTTCAAGAACTGGCAACCGACATACAAAGACCAACTCAGCCGACATTTCTAGATTGCAGTCAGGAAATTAATATTTGATTGATGTTCAATATTTATCTAAAATTTTGTGTAAGGAGGATTTACTTAATATCTGAATTCTTCTTGAGTTATTTAAAGCTATTTATTTTGCTGAACCCTTTTTATAAATTATAATAACTTGTTAATTCTTCTGGAATGATTATTTAAACAGACATACATGAACCTATAGATTGCAGCATTATAATAATGATGATCCAAGACCATCAAAAACAAAAGCTTACACGTTTTTGTCGATGAAATGGTTATTTGTACACCTGAAAGGATTCTATAAAGCAGCTGAGTGTAAAACAATTTCTTCTTCTTCTTAAAAAAAAAAAAAAATAATAATAATAATCTCAGTGATGATTAAAAAGTATAATTCATCTTCATCTAATAGTCCAAATTTTTATAAAAATTTGATTAATTGTATATCTGTTAAACAAAATTAGTTGAATTATTTTTTTGTTGGTGGTGCAATTTTAAGTATCAGCAACATAAAAAAGTGCTGCAGATGTAGAAAATAAAGCTGACGACTTATTTAACATTTAACTTGGAACAAGAAACAGCTCTGTTCAAGGAAGGAGAGAAAATTGTTATAATTTGTGCATGAAGCAAAGGATTAATTTACAAATGATTCAAAAAAATTAATAGGATTTTTATTTTCCGTTTGATGGTACAGTCAAAAGTCGTTAATCCGGACTCATCGGGACTTCGGCGATTCCGGATTATGGATCATCAGTTTAAATCTGGTAAGATGGCATGCAGAAATTACAAAATTAAAAATATGAAATGGTAATTTATGAAATAAAGAAAAATTATGATCTAAAGGGTATCAAAATTTACAAAAAGAAAAAGCTTAATATATATTTGTTTACTTTATTAAACATTTCTTTCAATGTAAGTTGCTTCGTTTCATGTGACAATAGTTTCTCTTTAATTCTATTAAACAGACATAATTTCTTGTTTAGTTACAAAGTTCCGCTGTTCAAGTCCTATAATTGCTGTGTCGAGAATACCGATTAATTTGTCAATCGAAATGTTTTCGTTTTCCTCTCTGACACTTTCTTCACTATCAGAAGCGAACTATAATGACGAGAAACTTGATTTAAATCATATCAAAGACGGAGTACATCGAGATGAAATACTACATTTAGTAAGGAATTATAAGCCAAATAAAATAAAAACATCTGCCCTGAAGATAAGGATAGTGCTGACAGATCAACTTCCAATTCATTGCGCGTCGCGGCATTTCCCCCGCCGAGCAGCGTGAAATTGATAAACAGATTTCGGATTTCAAAACATACTTTCGCTTTGTAGATCCTTTTACATATTAGCAAATATATATCGGAAATTCTATTTGACATAATCGAAAGTTCAAGCTTACTTTTATAAAATTGCTCTAACAGTCTGCAAAAAATAATAAGCCGGATCCAATTCGAAGATTAAGGAACAACGCAATCTGCAACATTAACTGAATTAGATAATTTTAGCTTAGCTTATACCGTCCATTATACATTAAACGCGCATGCGTAAACGTATTATGCGCTTACGCACACGCATATTCGAAGCCGTAAAAATCTTACGCACACGCTTAAACGCCTATGTGTCGCATGCGCAGAAAGTTTGTAGCTTTGAGGTCCGGATTATAGATCATTCCGGATTATGGGTGTCCGAATTAACGACTTTTGACTGTATCTGAATTACATTTATTCGTTATTTAAACAGAGATTAAAGTTCAAAGTGACCAAATGCTGAATTTCTTTTAAACACACATGAAAAACAGACTGGTTTCTTTCTGAATGTAGTTAAATTTAAAAAAAAAAAATTATCAGCAGAACTTTTTCAAAATACTTCACAGTAGAAAATTACTTCACACATAATAACTGAAGATGATGACACTGGAGATTTATGGATTACAAGGTAATTTCTTGAAAACAGTTCTTTTTAGATATGCAGAAATTACTTAGAATGATTCGATTCTCTTTACTATTCTAAAATTTTTGTGATATTATCAGCAGCACTATCAAATTTAGAAAGTAGTTTAACATAAAAATTTATACATACATTCACTTTGTGATGGCTTAGAAATGACTCATTGGTTTATTAATATTATCTAAGGAATGTGGAATTGAATTTAAAACTGATACATATGAATTAATTCAAGATTTCAGGAAAGCCTGAAAAATCAATTTTTCCCCATACAGACATGGATACAAATGCCTTAATGTCTAATTAATATTCTTTCATGTTTGTAACATTATTTTCATGTATATTTATGTAATTATGATAATATATAGAAAAAAAGACAATGAACTATTACTTAACTGTCCTGTTGACAAGAAAATTCAGGGTCTCATATGGTCTTATAAACATATATGTTTACAGCTTGAAAGCACCATAAACATGACTTTTTGAGCAAGCAATAAGGTAGAAATCTATTGTCCAAAGACAGTGTTTCCTACTCAAGTGAAATAGATTTCCAGCCTAGAAAGACTCACACTGGCTGATGACTAGCACACATCAAGAAATATAGTGTTCAATTCACTGAGTAGCAATGGAAAAAAGATTAATCTGAAATGGGGATTTAACACAATGTTCTTTGTATCACTGCATTCCTTTCAAGTACACATGATTCAATTCTTTCAGGATTTGCAGACAGATTTCTTTTATATGCAATGGCATATTGTTAATACTATGCAAACACAGTGTCTTAAAAACACCCTTGTTTCTCTAATTAATGTAATAACTTATGCACACAACCAACATCTATCAAACTTATACTGAAGCAAAATTGATAAAACTCGTAACTGTGATTCTGTACACTTCTCGTTAGGCTGCAGTTATTTTCATGAAAAGGACAGCAAGCAGAAATTTAAAATAAAACATACTAATTGTTTTCAGCCTTTCAGTTATAATAGTTCCATAAGGAGGTCTGCCAACTCTGAACTCTCAATGAACAAACACATAGATACAAGCAGCATTTAAATTTGTAAGATTTGCAAGCATATTTCCATATGTGAATTTCATTTATTAGTTATGATTAGAAATAGATTTGTTTTTAGTCAAGTGTTTTTTCCATAATGGTGTTTTCATATTTTTATAACTCGTACAAAACACGTATTTCTTTTTTATCAATATAAATGAATTTAATACTACTAAAAAAGAAATTCAGGATTTGAAAAACATGGCCTGAATCAAGCAAAATGCTGAAAAGCAATTGTAGGAAAATATTTCATACAGTAGGTTTTAGTTGAGCAAACAAATTATGCAGTTTCATGTAACAATGCATACATTGATTATGGATCAAATATATAATACTTCAGTACAGTGAATAAATATTAAAGCAATAACACCAGAATTACTTACAACGAACTGAATAAAAGCACCAACATGAGAGCTGTAAACTACAATTTGTTTACCAAATGCAAATTAATTATAGTAGCAGTTCGCATTTATGAAAACATATATAAGTATGTAATAAACAATCATAAGCAAAGGATAAACACTTTGATGATTCTACTTCAGAATATACTAAGATATTATAAATATTTCAAAACACTGCAAATTCAATGAAAGGGTTAGATTGTTTGATGCACATGAGGGATATTTGTTGTTTGATGCACATGAGGGATATTTGATTAAGGGGAGAAATGTCTCCATTGAGAATTTTCTAAGGGCTTTAACTACCAGTATTTAGTGGTCTTAACTATTCGGCCATCAGTGGAGCTAAACTTAATGAACCATTGAGGAAGGAGTTTCAATAAAAAGCAATTAAAATTTCATTAATTAGACTGCTATAAAGTGCATCAATATTTAAGCATCACAAAATAAATAGCAAATTATTCTGCTCATTTTCTTGCAATGTAAAAGAACTATCAGCAAAACTGAAGAAAATGGATGTCTAAAAATATGTAAATATAAATTATATTTGAGGATGCAGAATTTTTTAACTTCCAAAATTAAAAATGTTGCCAAATAATGGCAGAATGTTTGTCATTCTAGATCATAAAATTATCATAGCTAATAATTTTTCAAATAATCTATACAGATTATGTATCTAATTTTAACTGATGGTGTTTCATCTGATTGTACATAATAAGCTGTATTTTTTAGTAAACCAAGTTGGTATTCAAGAGTGGCATACTTTCCTCTTTGGTGTTTGAATCCATAATGGTGTTGAAATTTTTTTCAAAGAACTGCAATAAATTTACTGGTCTGTTTTGCTGTAAGGTTCTACTGAGACATGATGATAAAAGATGTTCTATCAGATACCAAAGATAAATTACAAAGTAAATTAAATAACACATACATCCAAAATTATAATAATGATTTTTATTTGAATATTTTAACACAGGATAACACTGACAAAAACTGTTTTGATTACTTTTCAGCAAGATGTGTCTTTTACAATTTAAAAAAAAAATCTATAGGTTAAGGAACAAAACATAAATGGACCAGCCTAGAATAAATGGTGAAGTTTCTGTAGCAATTATCAATTACCAGTTATGTAGCAATTATTATTAGGTTTTTTTAAAATATTAATTTAATAAAGGATCTATTACAGAAAAAAAAATAATTCTTAAATTGGTTCAAATTAATGTAACATACATGATAAATATAAAAATTTGTGCCAGCATCTAAACAGTCTTAACATCTACACATATACACTGAAAATACATATTCTGGAAAACAGACTGCACGCAAATATGAAACATAAGTACAGAGCCTTTCTTATTAAATATTTTATACACAAATGAATGCTAAAACACAAAAGACTATTTTTTTAGTTTAGTTCAAATTTTATCTCTGTACACTTTTTAAATTTAATAAGCATTAAATTTAAAAATCACTTATTCATATACTCAGACATATGATATAAATTACAATATAATTAGTAACAATAATTTTATACACGTATGTATAAATTCAAAAACAATAATTATAATACAATATATTACATAGCAGACACAACTAGTCAGTTTATAATCATCGTAATCCAGTTACAACATACAAATATTAATATGCACTTAATGATTATACATGCACATATTTTTTAGCATAAAATTTCAAGAAAAATCATAATGACTACCTAAAAATAATCTTTTAGAGATATAATATTTTTGTGAAATACATAATGCGCGAAAGATTTTATTCATTACATATTCTACTGTATTTTATGATGAACTAAGGAAATAACATTCTTATAAATAATCTGATACACTGAAATAATATTCTTATAAATAAACACTGACAGAGGATATTATTTATTTGCGACCCATAATTAACGAATGGAATAAAATTTAAATTCAAGTTTTTTTACCAGCTGATGCACGAAAAAGTTGTTCAATTTCATTTAGTGTAATTCTAGCTATTTTTAAAATGAGAGCCTGAAAGGCATATTCCAATAAAAGAGCACCAAAGCCTTTATAAAGTCCCGCTGCTCCTTCTTCAGCCACAATTGTATGAAAGCAATCCACTACACCTTCATACTTTGTTATTACTGGAAGCACAGAAGTTCCAGAATCTAAATTATCAATTATAGTTCTTGTTCCTTGAAGATACAACCTAAAGAAGAAAATAAAATCTTACATCATGTAAATTTTCCTTTTAAAATAATTAACACACAGTTCAATTTACAAACAATTTATAGGTTTAAATTCAGAAAGTTCGAGTTCTTGTGTAAATCCTTTGCTAACTTTGTTGTAATGTGCAAGTCCTTTGTACTTTTTGTTTACTTCTCTGCTTAATTCAAATGGGGGTTGAAATGTCTTGCATGTCATAATCATGCTTTGACATACACCAGTCTTTCTGTTTCTGAGAATTACAATCTCATGTGATTTTGCTTGAATTTAGTCAAAAGGGTTGTAAATAAGATAAAATTTAACGACTGCTGGAAAAATGCCATCTGCTTTCAATAAACTAATTGTTGGATATCAAATTATTTCATCAATTGACAATATCCTTTAATGAGAAACCTTTAAGGGAACTTAAGTCTAAATCTTACATTATTATTATTATTATTATTATTTTTATTTTTCAAAAATTCTTGCTCAGCCTTAGAAACCTCCTAGAAGATCAAATGATGTGAAAGAAGAAAATAATATGCAGTAATTTCTGCCATAAAGTGTGTTACATAATTAAACTTGCTTATTATTTTAGGCCATTTTGCTGACACTTTTGTGGTTACCTTTTTAAACTGTACACATTTTCTATTATTTTAAAATATTTTCGTGTTTGCACACAATTATTTGCAATTTCAGTTTTTTTCTCAGTACATTTAATTAGAATTTGAAATTTTGTTTTTAAAAGATAAAATGTATTACTGATTACAATAATACTGAAATATTTAAACGGATATAAAACTCATAATGTTAAGATGAATAATTGCTAACATTAATTAATAATTCTGCAATGAACTCTCTTTAACACAGCAATCTATGGTTCCAAATGATTTTGGTTTCCTGTGAAGGTAGATTACATGAAAAATATAGTTATGTTGACTTCATAATACAACAAAGGGTCATATAACTAATTTATTTTACTAAATACTGATAATTATAGCAGTTAAAAATATATCATTAATGGAAACTTAGACAAGATGTTATTTAGCACACACAAAGGTTTTGAAAAAGTGATTACAGATTTTTCCTTTCCATACTTGTTGAATCTAGACATCATATATACTGAACAAAGTCCAAGATTTGTAACTGTTAGGACTTGGTGGTTCCTGATTTGCGATTTTTCCATATATTAGATCATCAGTTTAAATCTAGTAACATGAAATGTAAAAACCATACTATTTAAAAACAATATATTTCTGCCGCCTTCTTATCATGCCTTCGTGGTATAGGGGTCAGCACACTCAGCGCGTATTTGAGAAGTCCGAGGTTCGAGTCCTGGCGAGGGCATTGCTCGTTTTTCCTCTTTCATGCTTCCAAGAAATCCTAATGTCTCCACAGTGGTGCCTGAACTAAAAATAAAAGGTGGTGGATGATAATTCTTCACCAACAGGATTTGGCAATTAGGTCTTCTAATCCCCAGACACTCTTTAAAAGGGGGAGTATATAATCTATTTCTCCTGCCTTCTTAGAATGCCTTCGTGGTGTAGTGGTCAGTAAGTTCGGCGTGTATTTTAGAGGTTCGAGGTTCGAGTCCTGGTAAGGCATTTCATATTTTTCATCCTCCTGCTTTCGAAAAAATCTAATGTTTCTACAACAAGAAAAATGATTTAAGAGATAATGAAGCCTTTATGACCTTAAATGAAGTAAAAAAAAAAAAAAAAAAAAAAAAAAAAAACTGAATATTTATTTGCATGTTTTCTTAAACATTTCTTTCAATGTAAATTATTTAATTTTTTGTGCTAATACTTTGTCTTTAATGCTATAGATACACATAATTCCTTGTTCAATTACAAAGTTCCATTGCTCAATTCCTGAAATTGCCACATCAAGAATTCCCACTAAATTGTTAATCAAAAGTTTCTTGTTCTCAGCAGTCTCTCTCTTACTTTCTTCACAAGTGGTAGCAATATTTCCTGGATTTAGAACCACACTAGAGATTTCGCTATCCGTTAGTTGATTAATGTTAGGAGCATTGCCACCATAATGGTAAAACATTTGTTATATCATCTTCATTTATTAACACGTCTTCACATTTCTTCACAAATTCCATTAATTAGAAAATTTTACTTTCTGTTTTCAATATCTGAAAACCTTTAACTTTACGGCTATCATAATATAGCTTAGCTAGCACCTGCTACACACTATTGGCAAAGTATCATGAGATCGGTGACTAAAAACATGTTCCACTAAATTTTACCTTGCCTGAATTTTATTACCATCAGGTTTTACCTGATGACGTTAAGCCTGAATTTTATTAGTATTATAATTACAAACTATTTTCCATACATGCTTAAGGGTGCATCGCAAATAAATAAATTCTCACATATATTTAAGGTTATTCCAAGGTTGGTGTGCTAGATATTTTGTGGCCTTGTGCAGTCTCTGAGAGTCCAAAATTCTGCTGCCAAGTGATTCCCTAAATTCTAAAAATTTTGCCACCCTTAAATTTTGTTGTTCAGTGCTTCTCTAAATTCTAAAAATTTTGCTTCATTCTGCAACATGACAATGCTCTACCACACTGGCATAAAGTTGTATGCCAGAACCTGAACGATAGTCTACAACATCGCTGGTCTCGTTGTGCTGGGTTAAGTAATATACCACTGCTTTTTTGGCCACTGAGATCTCCAGTGATTTTTTTCGTATGAGGTCTTGTTAAAGAAAATGTTTTGGTGCCTACATTTCCCCAGGACTTACAGCAGCTGAAGTAATGGATGACTGAAGTGTTTTAATCACTAACAAAAGATATTTTATCACGAGTGTGACAGGAATTGGAATACCGTATAGATATTTGTGTCACCGGAGAGGTACACATAGAACATTTATAGAAACTTATATAATTATAATTTCTATGTAAATTTGATTAACCAAAATAAGGTAATTACAATGTTCAGAGGTAAACTTTCTTTTTGTAATATTCAATATGAAACACCTGGCATTACTCATTCAAAATTATTAAATTAACAATTAAATTATTAGCTAATGAAACCATTTATAAGTAATGAACTTATTTAAATAAAAATTAAAAAATGAATGATAAAATTAATAAGATGCTTTAAGGAATATGATCCAGGGCAGGCTTTATTCCATGCAAGATTTTAAGTCTAAATGAAATACACATAAATATTAAAATAATAATAATAACTTAATACCTATGAAGTAATGTTTCGCCAGGATAAAGCATTATACTAGCAACAAGAGAACCAAAATGTACTGTAGATAAATTGTCCAGATAATTTACAGCAGAACTTTGGTTGGCTTGAGAATTCTGAGGAGAAGAAAAAACGTATTGTTAAATCTATAATCTAATATGCTAAAGAAAAGAAAAATCATTATTCAATATATTAAATTGTATATTTGGTAAGAATAACCATTGAAATACGTGATACTTTCTGCTTGAAGGTTAATAACAGTTCAAATAATAATCAACAGAAACTGTGAACAAATATATATAAACGTACAGATTTTTTCCTGACATTTCAATATACCATTGTTCATTTTTCAGTTCTTTTCCTGGGAAAACTATATTACTATAAAAGTGTAATAATTCCTAAGAGCATGGAGTAAGTTACTGCAACATATTCATAGCAACTGCATTAAATAAGTACTAAAAGATAAAAATTTGTTCCTTCTTATGAATGTAATTACTGCAATGAATACAACATATAAGCAATATGATAGAGCCTGGTTATAGTTTTATAAATTTTGTATTTAGTTAGATATATTTAATAGAATCATAATTAAAATTGTTTTATTTTCCCATGCTATGTACAGTGTGATAAATTTTAAGAGAAAGCTATGCCAAAAAAGTAAAAATATAAGAGCATGTGCATTTAACACTGAATAAAAGTTTATCTCGATAATTTATATTTCATTTGAATAAATGTAATTGACTACTATATTAACTGTAACCGTAATTCTACTCTTTTACTTTCCAGAAAACTCAAGAAGCAGAAATTACTAGAATCTCTTGCTACCAATTTAAAGCTATAAAAAGCCAGACAGAAAATCTCAGTTCAGTTGCTGTTTAGTTAGCTGCTGTTGCTATTTTTGTGAGTTCAGATCAGATTAGCTTTCTCTGCACTGAAGATTGCATTCTATTTAACGTTTTAATAGTTTAAAGGATAACTACCGATTACATTGTGAGATACTGTGATATTGTACAAATATCTCTGAGGAAAAATCCAGAGCTCTTTTATATTTCTTTTGATAAGAATAAATTTTATTAACATTTTATCAGACTTGTGCATTCAATCTATTACAAACCTGTACACACACAACAATATTTTCCCTAAATGAACTTATTTTTAAAATAATTAAAAAACATAGTGATCTAGTCTTTCTATAAGTTGTCTAATTCTTAAGTACAGTGTTAATTTTCAGAATTTCAATTTCACACAAAAGGTAATATAATTCATGCGATATTTATGGAAAATGACAAGAAAGTTGCAGAGTTAAATCCTAGAGAGCAATCATTTCAAACAAGCTTGTTAAATAATTCTACATTATAAACATAAATCACAATTTAACAAACCGAAATTAAACAAATTTTTAAATATTTTCTGAATTTGTTTGGATCATCAACAAAAGCTAAACAAAAAATCTCGATTTGATGAATATATTATCCTAATTTTAAAAAATGCCAAAAAAGTTCCCAAAGTTTACACTTAAGAATCTTATTTTTTTTTTAAATAAGCCAATAATTAATAGTCAGATCAGTTTTGTCTGATATTATTATATTATAGTGACATCAAAACTATTAGGAATTGCTATAAAAATATTTTTCTTATAAGGTGTGATTAAAGCCATCCACTCGTATCACAGAGAACAACAGCAAAGAAGATTTTATTATTAGGAGAAGTCCTGTTTCACAGATATGCTAATTTTCAGATTATTCATGAAATTCAATTTACTGGCCCAATGTGGTGATAAAGAAGTGAGTAATCAGTCCAGTTGAACAATAAGGTGGAAACAAAACAAATCACGCAGTATTGTATACTATTACAGTGTCTTTTAATTTAAGAAATAATTGTGATTTTATGAATTTTATAATCAGCTCCAGGCACTCTATTATTCAGATTAGACTGTAAATCAAACTTACATTTTACAAATGACAAAAAAGATAACTATAATCTGAGGTCGCTTAAAAATATAAAATATAATGCAATGAGATCATACGGACTATTTTAATGTTATTATCATTTTATGACATATCTCATAAGGAAGTAAAATAGCTGGCACTTATAGACACTTCAAATATTAATTAATTCTTTATTATTAAACTCTAAGCACCATCACATAAATTCAAAGAAGTCACTGTTAATTCATGTTAAATAAATTACAACCATATTTCAATCACTTGCTTTTAAAAGAAACAAATATTGTTAATAGACTACAGTAGCTTTCAAATTCAATAAAACATAATTATAGTTCATATTGCTAAAAATTAACAAATATTTTGAAATATATATAATGTAATTAATGACTTCACTTTTATTGAAAGCACATGAATTCACCAACCTGTTTATGCTGATTTAACAATTTCATTGAATGAAACCACTGAAAGACAGATCGAACTAATGAAGAAAGAACATAGAAAGAAACTCCATATAAAGCCGTAGGTCCTACCAGCTGCCACATTGGAAGCAAACGTGTGGAATGTGGTGTTCCTACTCTGAACAGGCGACAAAACCCTTCCTTTATGCAGTCAAGAACACCAGGTTTTTCACTCGCAATGTCACTCTGAAAATATTTTACACATTTACATATCTTAAATCTCAAAATAACACACACAAAAAGATGCTCCGAAGTGGATACCATTATCAATATATATGATAAAATCAAACTCAGAAGTAATGACCAGCAAGAATTTTGATGTTGTAGAATACTGACACAATGAATAAAAAATTTGGCAGTCAAGGTATATTTAATTTAACTTTTACTTCAGTAAACATGTGGCCACAATCAATTTGCACATTAATTGTGCCTATTCCAAAAGGTATACATTTTAGATAAATTTGCAGGAAGAAAGAAGGAGCAAACAGACTGCAGTCAAGCTAGGCCAAAGCATAGAAAGAAAGTGCATTATGTTCGGGGTGAAATCTTAATTCAGACCGAGTTAGTTTTGGTTCTCAATGACTTTTATTGGATAGTTAATATTGCTGTAAAATTACTATTGGCTGTTTGAGTTTTAGTTTCATTTACATCATCAGAATTACGTAAGAATCATATGACATCAATTAGTCTTGAAATGACGCAGTGCAAATAGAGGTTACTATTTTTAGAATACAGAAGGGAATTTAAACTGCTAATTTAATCTTTTACATAGCCTTTATTTTTCTTACATATACATTATTTTCTTAAAATTTAGTACAAGACCATGCCGATGCTTAATTATAAGCCATCACTTATATTATTAGTATTAACCAATTATTCAATGGGGATAAATATTAACTAATAATTTTTATTAATAAATTAATATTAATTATATTAACTGTCATTTTTCATCATACACAAAGTGATACTAAGCATAAAAATAATAAATGAAATTTAAAATTGCAACTGTTTGTAAATTATAAAATTTTAAACATATTACACAGACGATGATAAATTTCAAATAGCATAATGAAATGGAATTCTAGCTACCTGCTTGGTTTGTTTAAAAATAATGGCAAAATTCAGAGTTATGTAATGAATTATCATTCTTGAACAACCACAAGTAAAGTACAATGGTGCTCAAAAACATGTTTGTATACAAGGTTCCATTAACGTAGAGAGGTCTAAAACTGAGCTTGAAAAAAAAAAAGAAAAAAAAAAAGAAAGAAAGAAAGAAAGAGAGAGGTCAGGAGGGGTTTAGTACTCTTTAATACACGACTACATACTAAATATAATGCAGTTTATGAGTCCTCGTGGCAGTTGGTTCCGCTTCTGCAGCCATGCTGTTTTCAGGTCCTGGGAGGAAAGGCAAATTGCTTTCCCAAAAATGTTTGAGACATGTTCTATAAAGTTTAGGTCAGGATATGGCTGGACAATTATCAAATTCAGAAAACAAATTAGTTCTATATGAATAAGCACTGTCATTCATAAAAATGAACTGTACTTCCTGTAGTAGTGAACCTTATGTATAATTATGCATGAATACCATGACTGTTAGTATGGTATAATTTTATGTATTATGGCAACCTATGTTCATATCAAATTTCATTAAAATCTGTCCATCAGTTCTGGAGATAATCAACGAAATGTGGAAATTATCTTAACTAGAGAACTAGAGAAATTTTTGAAAAATCTGATACTTATACACTTTCTTATTGATCATGTTCAATAAACAAACATCATTAAACCATCAAAAGGGAAGTTTAGCTTTCATATAGAGGGATATAAGCTAATTAATATTTCTTTATTTTTTACACTTTGGAAAAATGATTAAAATTTACAGTCTGCCTTCTATGGAAGAATACCTAATGGAGTATTAAAGTTATGATACTTGCCATAAAAAAAGTTGTGTATTAATGGGCAGAACCTGAGGTTTTATTTGAAAATGAATAAACAATGGTGGTAAGTTGAACTCACATTTATTATAGTTTTTAATATGCTATATTCAAAGCTGTATCTGTTATTAGTTAAGTAAATAAAGATCACTTTCTTCCTTTTGCTGGAATGATTGGCGAGATTTCTGCCATTTTCATGAAAAGTATGTTAAGTTCCAATATGACCCATGCACAATCTCTAACAAGGATTTGGAACTTTGAAGCATTCAATACATTTTAACAAAACAAATCTATTTCACATTAAGAATGTGATTCTTTAAGTCACCCCAAATTCAAAACTGCAAAAGTCTTAAAATGGGTAAAATATGGATGAGATTACAAACCTGCACTGTTTCAACAAGACTTGCACAATAAAATGGTGTTAGAAATCCATATGTAATGCTATAATAAAAAATGACCAAGTAAAGAAAATGTATTGATAGTACTTTAGAATAACAACAAAAATATAACTTTGAATTAAAGGAACAAACAATATGATATGCAAATTAGAAACCTGTACTTAAAATTGCATAAATAATTTTTAACTTAATTATTTCAAATGTAATACAATTTTATACATGAATTTAAAAAAGTTGATGTGTACACTACATGACTTTCCTGTACGGAATATTAAATTATATGCATTTTTTTCTGCATATCATTTAAACTTATTGAATTGAATTACATCTACTTCGTTGATAGTGCATAAACCACTTTAAAATTCACTATATATATTTATCATAGCGACACTCTGAGTGCTAGGTTCACTTAACAGCATTACATCTCATTCATTTTATAACACAGAATGCACAAAAATCATATCATCTGAAGAATTATTTAATTGTCGCCACATGTTCTATCGAAATAATATAATAAATCTAAAATGATGTATAAAAGAAATTAAACAAACAAAAACAAACAGTTTTCACAGATGATTCAATCAGAGATGCAGCTAGAGATTTTAGCGCCCGGGGATGACTGAAGATCTTGCGCCCCTATCTGTGTGCCAAGAATGAAAGATGTTTCATTCTAAAATTTCATAACATCATTTTGGTGCCCCCCCAGATGCTGCGCCTGAGAAAAGATGTCCCTCCTTGCCCCACCCTAGCGACGCCAATGGATTCAGTGCTAATTCTCATGTGCTACTCGTAAGCATTCTCCTCTGCCTTAAACAGACTGGCGACAATATTTGCTGCGACTATGAAACACTTATTTCTTTGAATTTTATTAGAGATATATTTCTCATTCAATTAATTCAGTTCTCACTTCGCGACAAGACAAAAATACATAAAAACTCAAAATATCTTCATATAAAATTGAAAGATATCTATATCTATATATATATATATATAAGTACAATTAAAACAATTTAAAAAGTTTACAATTAAAATTACAGTTTCTATGCAAAAACAAGCAATTTGGCTAGTAGGCAAGAAGGCAGACATTTTACTGCACAAAACTAAAAGTTTCCTTCTGGTCCCACTCGGCAAAAAAACACTGAAGGCGCAGAAAGAATGAATTCATTATTCTTCTAAGTTTCAAACGTAAACAAATATGACTGTTATGCTAAAAAAAATTAAGCTTAGCCGCACTTAAACAACTTTTAAATTGTTGATAATTCTACAACTATTGCATGCATATTAACTAAAGGCATAAAAACCTTAACCAGAAGATAAAAACAATATAATTCAATCATTTTTAAAGCAAAAAATGCACAATTTACCGACATATAAGAATAAAAAGAAACTGAGCTCACTGAGCCAAGTTACAGAATGGGTGTGTTTATGTATACATAATATATATATATTTATATAATTTTGGCACGGTCAATTGCAACCAAAAAGATAGGGGCACCACTACATATTATAGCAATCCTATATTCAAAATTTCAATGTTCTCAGACTACTCGTTTTTGAGTTATGTGAGATATATACATAGGTACATAGAGATGCCGTGAAAAAAATCTTTTCTGAATCCACTTTAAATCAGTTTTATAATTCGTTTGGGGAAAAGAGTCCTTAATTTTGTCCTTACATGCAGAGAAAAACATCATTAAATTGCATTTTAAAGTGGTCAAAATGGATATTTTTGTTGAAGTATGGTACCCGGAATTTTTCATGATTACAATACTTACTTTACTTCTTACAAGGAAGTAAAAATGAATACTTTCTGATTATCTGCAACTCTCTTAGGAAAAAAAAGTCGGCAACTTGACAGCAACTAATTTTTTACCAAGCTAATATATAAAAAGTAAGAATAATTATGAAAATGGTGTCTAACTAAGAATTCCATTTAGATTTTATATTACGTCCATAGGGGCCTTTTTTTTTTTTTTTTTTTGAATGTTTTTTGTGTTACCTTTATTTATTAAATATCATGTTCTTCTCACTTAAACCATAAAATTCAATCCAATAGCAATATCGCAAAATAATTTTAAAATGAGCATAATTTGACATTTTCCAACACACAGTCTCGTGCGCTGGAGATAAAAATGTTCCACCGCCCCGTACAGAGGTGCCATTGCTCGCTTTGAAATCGTTGAGTTTCTTAATCAAAAATTCGTTAAAGTGTTACAAAATATGAAATCGATAATAAAACAAATTCCAAATTAGGGCTTCCAGATGCCAATAACTGGTGGAGGATTACATTATTTAAAATTGGATGGCTCTTCGTACCGTTGTTTTATCATAAATAATAATTCTTCATTATTTAATTTCTTTAACTATAACACTGGGGGAAAATATTTGTTGGCAACAATTTGAAAAGCGAACCAATATTTATAGCGAATCAACGCAAAATGCCAAAACAAAATTAATAGCCCAAAGAAAAAAAGCAAGACGTCTATTATAAAACATTACTTTCTGAAGAAATTCGTACATAATTTTTTTTGCACTGTTGTTTTTACCATGTACACTCCAATTTCGTTTCATTTTTAAAAACATCCGAAAATTGCAAAATTCAGCATCAGCATTTTGATGCACAAAATTCAATTGATTTGCATTCTCTACTGTTGGCAAGATGCCACATTTTTAAATAAATGCAACACTTTCCTTTTCATCAGCTAATAAATTCAACAATTCCATTACAATTCCTTACAAGGGGCAAGGACTTTAATGATCACTGAATTTGAAAATGGAAATTTACATTAATCTTCTAAGCGGGTGAACATACTTGGGTTGCCATAGAAATACATCTTGATGACATCATGGGTTGCCTATTTTGGCAACATACTGTGATGCCTTGTGAATACTTTTCAGGAGTATGCAGATAATCAAAAAGAGCTAAAAAAATGTTTACTGCATTTTGGCAACACCATTTTTGCATTTGAAACAAACTGAAAGTAAAAATTACATTATAAACAGTAAATTTTCATCTAGAAAGAAAGGACAGATGTATGAGCAGATTTTTCTGGTGCACAAGTCAGATACACTAAACATAAAATTCCACATTTTAAATTTTCAATAAAAAAATTTAAATAATAATGCATGTAACATCATTATAATACATTATTTACGGCTATCTGAAACAGGTTTTCAACCTGTTTTGCCCCATGCACCCCTTTCCTTACAGCTAGAAGATCGTTATCCACTGTTTCCAAAGCTAAAAAAATACATACCGTATTTGACGGCATATAAGACACACTTTGTTTCCTAAATTTGGTTTCAAAAAAGTTACCTGCGTCTTATATGTGAAGGACACAGGTTAACTTTCAATACTGAATGCTATTTTTAGCCCGGATAAAGATCTAGACACACATAAATTTTTTTACACCTACATGTGTGTGGCCTTCTAAATAAGGGTGCGTCTTATATGCCGTCAAATACGGTATACATTTATTTAGGTTTAGATTATTTTTCAGCATGTTTTATGCATTAAACATCAAAAGGTAGAGAAATACCAAAACTTGAATAAAAGAATTTTTTTATATTCATAAACTAAAACTAATAAGTATAGTTTTTTAGAATCATAAATTAAAACTAAATACTTGACAGCTAAAAAAAAGCTAACACCATTTCTTCTGTGATTGAGAACGCCTGGTCTAAAAGGTTAAAATCATGACAGTGAAGAAAAATGATGTGCATGATAATAAAACTTAGAAACAATGAGAATAATCAAAACATTAAAATATACTAGGTATTTCAGAGAGCAAAATCACTTTAAAAAAGAAAACATAACAGTTGTAAGAAATTTTTATTTTAGGAAAAAAATCTACTAAAACACTTACAGTTTCAATAACAGATGTTGAGCTAATTGTTTCAAAGAGTTGTTTGAAGATACTTCCCTAAAAAGTATTAAAAAGCACATATGAATGGCTGAAAAAAACCATTTTAATCAAATAATGCACAAATTTTAAAAATAAATATCACTAGAAAGAATTTTAGTTTTATAAGAGCTATATTAAACAGAATACGTATTACATCATACAGAATACACTACAAAATAATAAAAGTTGAAACAGCTATGATAATACATAAATATAATAAATACTAACCAAAAAATAATTATCACATTTAAAACCTATCTTAATGTTTCACCAATAATAGAAACAATTTTAATTTTTCTATATTACCGAGGAAAAGGTGTTAACTCAGCGATGAACGTTTCCAGAGCCACAGAACATCCACGCAGTATGAAAATACCACTACACCCTTTCCACAGACATTTTAGACCCTAAATAAAATTGACAATTTTAAAACAATTCATGAAAATTAAAAAGCAAGAAAATACATTTAAAACAAATATACAGAAAAGCAACTATTGGGTTGTTCGGAAAGTAATTTCGTTTTTTTTTTTTTTTGGGAACATGAAAGACAATTTTCATATAATGAATAAATATTTTATTAAATTATATATTGGCCATTCTGGTCCAACACCTTTTGCCATCTTTCTGGCAGTAACATGAATGATTCCCCGCTCATAAAAGTTTTGGTCCTTGCTGGCAAAAAACTGATTCATGTGGTTTTTGACATCTTCATTTGAGGTAAAGGTTTTCCCATCCAAAAAATTTTACAGGGACCGGAACAAATAATAATCGGAAGGCGCCAGATCTGGAGAATATGGTGGGTTTTGCAGTATGTCCCATTCAAGCTGTAAAAGTTTTTGGCGAGTGACCGAACTTGTATGAGGTCTCGCATTATCCTGGTGGAACACTACACCCTTCCTGTTGGTTAATTCTGGCCTCTTCTGTTTAAGTGCATCATTCAATTTGTCCAGCTGATGACAATAGACTTCCGAATTAATAGTTGTATTATCCGGTAAAAGCTAAAAAAAAAAACCGATTTCTTTGAAATTCCACCAAACGGACAGCATCACCTTTTTTTGGTGAATGTTGGCTTTTGAAACGCTTTGAGCCGGTTCATCTTTTCTTGCTCCATGACCTTTTGCGTTTCACATTGTTGTATACGACCCATTTTTCGTCCCCAGTAATAATCCGCTTCAAAAATGGATCATTTTCCTGACGTTTGAGGAGCGAATCACACACGTGAACGCGACGACACAAATTTCGCTCCGTAAGAACATCGGGCACCCACACATCGAGCTTCGAGGTTAAGCCCAGGCCTTTCAAGTGGCCATAAACAGTCGAATTCGACAAATTTAACCTCTCACCGATCTCTCATGTGGTTATTCGCCGATTTACATCAACTAATGCCTTTATCGCATCTTTGTCAGCTTCGACCGGCCTTCCAGACTGTGGTGCATCTTTGACATCAAAATTGCCGGATCGAAACTTTGCAAACCAGTTCTGGCACTGGCGTGCTGTTAACACGCCTTCTCCATACACATCCGTCATTTTTTTTTCGCTTTGAACAGCATTTTTACCTTTTCTGAAGTAAAAAAGTAAAATATGACGAAAATGCTGCTTATTGCTCTCCATATTTAAAAGGGCTCCAACCAAAAACTACTGCGTAGAATTAATAGAACTTTTTCACACACAAGCCTTGTAATATTAGCTCTCAAGACATATAATGGTTATGCGGCTTAAGTGTGAAGTTGGTTTCGAAAAAATGTAATTAAGTCCTCTGACGGGAAAAAACGAAATTACTTTCCGAACAACCCAATATATTTACAATGGTGCTCCACTATAAACAGTAGATTTGTATTAGAAGTTCACTTTGATATGATATGTTCATTCACATTAAGATTTATCTTTCATTCTGTGAATAAATATGCCACAGAGTTTACAACTTATCAACACCGAATACAGCAACTTGACGACTGATTTAAATAACTCGGACATCTAGTGTGATACAATTAACATATAGCAAAACCGTACTTTAAAAATAATGACGCTCTTTACAAAATTCAAGAGAATGGTAACATAATTCTCATGCTATTTGGCACAGAGATCATTATAAATTTGAAACAAAATTTGTGTACTCTTAAAAAATTAAATAAAAAAGAGGAGACAAGTTTATAATTTTTTTCGTATAAATTTTCAAAGAAATTCTTCAAACACATATAAATGCTTCTAAATATTTAAATCTGACATTTTTTTTAAAACAAACTTCAAAATATTTACATTTGATCAAAAACTATTTTGTCTTTAGTCGAATGATTAGTATAATGACATTATTTAGTCCATCATATGGCCACCAAAGCTTCACTTCTCACATTATCTAGAAGTAAGCAGCAGTGAGACATTGCAATTAAATTTCAATTTTAAACAAACCAGAAGTGCACTAGTTATAAATACTAAACGTTCGTTATCATGCATAATATTGCTCATATTTAACACCATATTATTCATTTCCTTTCCATCAGTCTGTCTAATTCCATCAGTAAACACAAAAATAATTCTGAAAAGACAAGGAAGGAGGGAGAAGAAAACTTGGTACTAAAAATATAAAAACTGAATGATTTAATGATTTAGCAAAATCTTGATTAAACTGCAATTACACTCTTAGACAAAAAAAAAAAAAAAAAAAAAGACGCACTGAGAAGATATAAAGCAAATTTGGACACAAATTGATTTGCATACAGGTTTTGACGGAAAAAGCAAAATTCTACGTTTTGGCAGCCAACGAATGAACGGTTGTTGCTACAGCACATCTGATCTGCGCAACTGGGCAGGATATTTAAGAGAAGAAATTACGATTCCAGGTAATAAATTCTTCACGAATTCCATTTCGTGCACTCTGGTAGACAGTAACTATGCCTTGCATACAGGTGCATGAACGATATGCGCAGGTGTCTAAATTCGGTCCTGGGAACAGCTGCGTAAAAACATAGCAGGGAAAACTGACGCAGCTATCAAATGCATATAAAAACCTCCCCTTACACTCCATATACCGGTCCCCAACCAATTTTACACAAAAGAGAAAAAAAGTTTTGTAATATAAATAAATGATAAAAACATAACAGTGTTTATTGATGACTTAAAACCTGCATATATGTTAACTGACATGACAGATTCTCCTACAATTTGAGTCCTGTTCAGCCATCAAGTGATCCAAATGCATGGGCTTCCGATCCACCATGTACAACATGTAGTGCATGGCATTTACATTTTTCTATCAGACTTTCCACTATTATATAATACATCTAATTATTCATATTTTACGATCGCAGGTGTTTGATTTTTACTGTATATGGTACTGTATAAAACAGGCGTTCTCAACCAGGGGAGAACTCATAGTTTACAGAGAGAATGCAGTCAAACTGGAACCACCTGCCTCCTGTTCTGCCACTGAAAAATAATCTAAATCTAAATAAATTTTATATGCACATTTTGAGTTTGAGGGAGAGGGAGGTGTTCCTGATATTGTACATTACAACTTCACTTCTGACACAACTTGGACTTCAGAACATCAAACGACAAGACCTCTGAAGACCTATTATTTTATTACACATAAAATATATTGTGCATGACTTATCTCACTTGTCAGATAGTAACATCAGAACAAGCCCATGAAATTCAATGTGGCAAACAGTGCAAGATTAAGCCTGTAAGAGCCTTTAGCACCATACAGGTTGTAATAACTTACGCAATATTCCATATGCGGCATCAGTGGATCTTGATATGTTATGGTATCAAATAAAGACACTTTCCCTTAACTAAAGCTATTTATGAATCAAAGACTATGTACAAGTATTATATACAGATTACAGGATATCTAGTTCCTACCACTCTCATCAATCTGTAAACTCTCTCTCTTCAAAACTTTTAATTAGCTACACATACGGGCGGCGCAGCATCTTCTATCTCTTTTTTCTACATCACTCCCCAGCTGTACTCTTTAATAAGAGTACACATACTTACTTACATAACAATATTAACATTAATTAGCAATGGTTTTAATACTAAATAGTATGACATATATAAATAATATAAAAGAATAATCGGTACTTTTCCGTTTCGCCGGCGCAAATCTCGCCAAGCAGACTTTATTGGCGACAACATACAGTATACACATAAAAAATATTTAAAAAATGTTAGTTCTAAGAATTCTTTTAAAAAGAGAAGGCATTTAATATCGCTTAAAATTTTATAAAAGCAATAAATGAAGACAATAAATTTGTAAAAAGACTTATTTAAGATTTCTATGCTTTCATGGTTCAACATCCTGATTAGCCAGTTCATATCACGTGACCCAAGCGTCTCATCTCACGTAACCTACTCTACAAAAATCTAATGCTCTCAGTAATTATCTACATTAATTTCAAGTTAAATCTTAATTTGGAACACAAGTTAAAATGCAAGAAATATTTCAATTTGTATGATAGCTTATTAGAAATTTAAACCGCAGTGCTTTACTTCGCTAATGCATTCTCATTAGAATTCATGAATTCTAATGACCTTGACTTTACCTTTCTATATTTTCGGCTTCAGGTAACGCTGTGATGCATCCTATTGACTTAATTACCGAAATGGCCTTAGACATAAAACCGAACTATCTGATAAAATTCTATGTATTCTATATGCCAGTATTGAAAGAACATCAATTGATAAGAAAAAGCTGCGACTTGTTTTGAAAATGATTCGTAAAGTACCAGCGAGAATATTCCGTTTGGTATTGGTTGTACCATTATTGGCGACTTCATCGCTTGCGCCGGCAAAACAGAAAAGTACCGAATAATCTATACTAGCATATATCAGAACCACAAATAAACATAATAATTAATAATATAATGAAAACTCAAATAATATCAAAAGTTCTAAATTAAATTTTGAAAGGATATAACATTTGGATCGAGCTTCTGATTTGTCCTTTGGGCGTGCGAGCGAGGCACGCTCGTACATGTCCATCTCTTCCTATAATCATGTTTTCAATCACACGTATGTCCAAAAGTAGTTTGGATTGTTTTGGTTTTTCTACCAACACGGCGTCTCCAGTCTTAAGATTCCACTCAGTTTTAGGATTAGCAAAGTTATGTGCATTTCTAAGATGGAGTAAATATTGCTCTTTCCACTTGATCCATGTTAATTTTAAGAGCCTAGATTGGTAAAGCTTCCTAGTTAAAGTCTCTTTGTCTGACACCTTGTTAAAAATTTCCAAGAAATGCTCAGGAAAGTTAAATGTACCACCTCCTGGCAGTAAAAACTGTGAAGGTATGAGCGGGCAAGGTTCACCCAGCTCGTTGCTCTCACACATTAAAGGTCTATTATTTAGCACACACTCGAGTTCAGCTAATATTGCAGAGAGCTCTTCGAAAGTCAGTAATGCTCTCCC